GCTTTATTACTTCAAAAGTGATACGTGAAAAACGATCTCTAGAGACGCTATTTTGACTGAAATGCAATGAATTATATATCATTTTGTTGCTAATTCGTTGAGAAACACGGCCAAGAAGGTTTTATGTCGCTATCTCTCATAGATTCACCAATATTGGCTAAGTAATTTGGATAATTGCAGCTTTCCCCGAAATTTGACCTTTGACCTGCCGGGTCAAATATTAAATTAGGGTAAAAAATATACCACCAATCGCGAGAATGTACTCGTTGAGAGCAATCGACTGCTCTTTGTTGCGAAGCGAGCTCAACGACGCTTAGTTTCGGAACGCCCGGGGAGGGGTATGAAAAATACCCTGCCACGGCGAGGGTTTTGACATAACAGTCGAACTGATATTTGGTCTCACGTCACTTGGGTCTATGTCTCCATGGAATTTGTAGGTATTGCTGGTTATTTTCATAAAGCTCCGAATGCCGAGGTCAGGTCAAATACCTAGTCATAATATACCTGTTCGCTGTTCGTAATACCACTCACACAAACTTGTGACTTCTTTCAAAGTTGTCAGTTTCTCACAAGCTCTTCCCGGCGTACTCCCGATCAAGAGTGAGAAGCGCACGATAGGAGACGCCTGGCTGGGCGCCGCTCATGGATAGATCGTGGGATGAGTCTCCGACTCGTCTGGTCACGGCGAAGCTTAGCAGGGAGGGCTCAGGGCACCTCGACGGCGGCCGAGCGCCAGCGGAGCGCCGTAACTAATGGATGTGACACTGTGTCAACAAACGCCGCTGAGTGACGAGCCGAGGGGACCGTCGAAACGCGCGGGCCATACAGCCAGAGACATCTCTCGGCGATTTTATGAACCAGCTGTGCAATGACTTTCAAATGAATAGAACTGCATAGTGATGCATGCAATGATGACTCACTCTACAGGACTGTGTAGAGAATCGATGTCTTTATGATTCCTAGCAGCCAGATTTTTGAAATTGTTGTCATGGCTTTCATGCAATGCACTGCAAGATGAAAATTGTATCATGCAAAACATAGTACAAAATTTGAAAAAAGGCTTGCTAGGAAATGTTTTCCTTGACTTCGTCAGTCCAAAACTGCAAACATCACAGTCGTACGACAATCCGTTGTTGAGTTCTATTCGTTTGAAATTTTGATTTTGCAATATGTTTGTCTCAATTGCTCAGTATATGTGGATTGCAGAACAACGGTAACCACTCTGTGATGACGAGGTTAACGTCCTTCATAACATATCCAAAAACGAAGGCAATCGAAGCAACGATGCTCTAGATATTTACGAAAAACGTTTCTCATAGCGTTACGCGTGAAACGCACCCTTAAGACCGGAAAGGTAGTACCGGACGTCCGGCCGGACCTTTATTTTTGCATTTGCTTCTGGGTGGGCAAATCGACGCCACTGGGTGGGCAATTGTGGCGACTGGGTGGGCATTTGCCCACCCAGTGGGTATATGTTAGAGGAGGCCCTGTTTTAAGGAGCGTCATGAGCGTGGTTTTTGCCTTCGGTATTTTGGGGGTACGATCGTTTTGGGGGAATTTCTTTTATGCAGGTCGCCCTGTGTGGCTTATTTATAATTTTTATGCTGATTTTGATCATTTCTCATGCCCATCCTACCAGGCTTTTTGCCACTTACACTCATTAAAGGAAAAGGGCCACCTTTAACATGGGGATTGAAACTGAGATAGCCATCTTGTAGCCCGTGTCCGAAAACCACTCTGTCTACCTCCTTACGGCCGATTTCGGCCTCCATTCGTAGATATCGGCAATTTTAAAAGAAAATACGCCAGGAATGCGTTCTTATCCAAGGAATGCGTTCTTATCCGACAATACAGCCACCCGCGGCGAGGCTTTGGTTTTTTACCAATCAGCTCCAACCAGCTCAGCTTTAACCAATCAGCTTATCTGACACAATCCGACGAGTCTGTCTTCTGAACGCTGATTGGCTTGAGTGTGACGTCATCGCTATGCCATCATACAGTAGGTGCCGTAGAGAGTATCAACATAGTACCAATATGTTAAATAGTTTTAAATACTTTTTCGCGAATTGTGCACTTCTGGCACCAGTTTTAAAAAGAAAATGAAAAATAATAATGTCAAAATGAAAAACAACGATATCTTCATATTTCACGAAGGTGGCCCTTTTCCTTTAAGAAAGGAAAAAAGTAGATTTTTATTGGGACTAGGTGTTTTGAGAGTGAAACATTTCAGCGTTCCCATTTTTGGATACTTACTTGTGCTCGTCAACTATCAGTGTTAAACAGACAGGTGCTTTACATGCCTCCACCCTCGGCGCGGACGGTGTATATAGGCATGAAAAACGGCCCGACCTATTAGTAGCTGCCGCACTATATGTACACTGAAAAAAACTTACTCCCCATTTTCTAATTTTAGAATGCCAAAAAGCACTCCTGCAATCGAATAATTTTATGACCTGGCATAAGTGCCTAAAATGGGGAGTTTTGGGGAATAAAACTAGCATATAGAATATATTTAGTATCCGAACGCTTATATTATTCGCGCTAGGGAATAATTTTATGACGGAGGATAAAAGTATGCTATCTTTGGATAAAATTACACCAGATGATAATTTTATTAACTTAATACTAAAATTACTCCCATTCGGGGAATAATATTGCCATGCCAAAAAGCACTCCTTTTTTCGATAATTTTACCCCGGAGTAACTCCCCGGTAAAATCAAGCCCCGGTGTATAAGTACCACCCCTGATAATGCGGGATGATGTGATAATATTATGACCAAGTGTAAAATAAGGAATGCATTTAAACAATGTATTGAAACACCAACAATTGATTAACGAATGGTACCTGAGCATCAGCAGGTACATCTTAATTTGGACGCACTTCCAGTGATGGCGCATTGCGGCCGACAGGGACGTAATTTTGCTTCCTAGTTGAGAAGCGGCGTCTCAACTGGGAGGCAAAACTTCGTCTCTGCCGGCCGCAATGCGAAATCACTGGAAGGACGTTCAAGGTCAAAACTCACAAGGGCGTTATGGTTAACACTGAGGCTAACGAATAACATCTTCGCACAGAACCACCGCCACGGATGGCAGATAAAACGAGCGTGTATGGTTAACACTGAGGCTAACGAATAACATCTGCGCACAGAACCACCGCCACGGATGGCATATAAAACGAGCGTGATCTGGGCTATGAAAGACGTACTGAGACTCATTGGCGTACTGAGACCGCCGCAGCTGAATTAGTCATAATACAGAGGCTCCAGTAGTGTGAGCCACACGTTGCGAGTCACTTGAGCCACAGGTGAGCCACAAGTCACGAGTCACTTGAACCACAGGTGAGCCACAGGTCGCCAGTCATTCGAAGTGAGCATCTCCGATGCTGGTTCTACACTACCTGGGTAACCTCCCACACCTTCTGTGATAAGCCAGATAGGTTTACATCGAATCCCACACTCCGGTAAAGAATCTCGAACAGGGCCCTGCAGGGCCCCGTGAACTTTGTGTAGAAGACAGCGTGGGCGGCCGTCATTAGGGCCACGGCCTCCAACCTGGTGGCCGGCAGTTGGCAGACCACCACACCGTCCACCGATAGTTCCTCACCTGCCTGACGAACCCCGTTTCTCGGATCCGCCAAGGTGCCAATGGTTGTTCCACAACCATAGGCAAGTAGAGCTAGCAGCTCGTCGTCTGCCGTGAAAAAGAATATTGCAGTCAGTTGGCATCAATGCATATCGTACAAATAAACGTAAAGGAAACCTAGGAGAGAAACAAGGAACCGCGTTCGTACAGTAGCTGGCAATGCCATCTACAGTATCTGGAGACGATTCTTCGCTTCTTCCTGATTTCTTTTCACTCTCAAAATCGTAGTACGATGCGTAGTACGTTTGCGTAGTACGATACACTCTTACAACTAAACGTGGTGCATAATTACAAAATAATTATACGTCGTTAAAATATTTCAGTGAAATAAGAAATTAGTACCCGATGTTCCGCTGTCATGGTTAAGTATGGAGTGCAAGTAGGTATCAAACTGCATGTAACTGTGGTATATTTGGAGACAATGAAGACAACCATGAATGGCGACAACCATGACTTTTCAATATCACTAGAGTTAAACAACACTTTTTGACTAATAGCAAAACCAACGACGATTGGCTGTCCAAAGGTGAGGTACAACATGTTGTCCCGCCCGTCGTTAAAGTGCCACCTTTTTACGGTTTTCGGTTCAAAACGGTTTTCAGTAGACCTGACCCACCTATGACCTACCCTGAAGTCCGTTTCCCGAAATTCGTCCTAGTTTTCGAGATATCCGCATTCGAACTTCACATTGATGCCATCACAAAAAGTGTGGGAGATGGGATTTTAACATGGTAATGTTACATTCCCATATTCCACACATTTGTGATGGCTTCAATCTGAAGTCCAATTGCGGATATCTTGAAAACTAGGCCGAATTTCGGGAAACAGACTTCAGGGTAGGTCATAGGTGGGTTAGGTCTAGTGAAAACCGTTTTGTGTAAAAAAGGTGGCAGTCTTCCTTTAAGCCAAAAAAAAATCATCAAGAAATTAAACAGTTGTCCTGCCCTCTGCTATTAATGCATTACGCCATTGGGATATGTGAAACGTCATTTCTCCATCGTGCAGGAAGAAGCATGCGTGGGAAATACCTTCCTACACTTGGTCTTGTCTAATGTTTTGGCCTGACCTCGTATTTATCGAAAATACCTCGGGCCTAACTTTGCATTCGCTAAAAAAAAAATCAGTCAGATCTAAACATTATTCCAGCCCTGGCCAGGAATATATTGTCTACGATGATCGGCTCGAGCCCAGTTATATAGAAGAAGAGTATCCCCCCCCCCCCCGGCACGATTGTTGCTAGCGGAACACCTCATCCGAAAAGGTGTGCTTGTGCCCGTTCAAAACTCACCGTCTTTGTCGGCCGGCTCCACGTTTATCATCGTCTGGGCACACTTCTTCGCGGTATGTCTGATTTTGTGCAGGACATGCTCCTTCACGTCCTCCTCGAGCCCCATGATCATTCCCAAGTCAGTCCACACCTGGAAACATCGCAAAATCACATTAATGAATGGAATTAACATCAAGCAACATCAAGTGAACATTATATCATTGTGGAAGGTCAGGTCAGGTAAGTTACTCCAGCTCACAAAAAGTTTGAAAGCGCGCCACGTCAAGTGTCAACCTCTGGTGATCTTTTACCTGATAAAAATGACTGGAATGCTTTCGTCATGGTTTGTGACAAGATTCCCAACTCCGCCTTGAGCGTTTCGTTACGGTTACGTTGCTTAGGACCCGCCAAGTTAGATGGGAGGGGGGGGGGGGACTTCCCAGCAGGCGGTAGAAAAACCAGAGGGAGTGGGTTAAAAATTATACAAATTTTCCAGATGTTTTCCTATCCAATGTTGTTCCCTGATAGCGCGGATATAAAATGGTGCCACTAATTATATAGTTAGTTCAGTTCAACCATACCCCGTTAAAGAGTTTCAAAATTCCTTTACCGTTACATCACGCTGCCGCGCTGGCGGGAAAAAAGTTCCCACGCATTCATAATACATAGGAAGATGGTGATCATCTGGGTCAACTGGCGAGCTTATAATTGGGAGGTTTATAAAAAAACACGTTTACATGAATGTTTGAAGCCCCGTTTCTCGATAATCCACCCTTAACCCTCGCATGTGTGCGGCGTTTGCCAGCTTCTAATGTGTAGGGGGGGGGGGGGTCGGTTGGACCCCCCCCCTTGCCGTTTGGCCCCTGATCGAGCTAGAGCTTCGCGGAAAAACAAGCGTGTTGCCCGTCACGAGAGGAAGCCGATGATACCCAATTTTAAGGTCCTAGGTCATTGGTTGACCTTCCAGGTCAGGTCAATGACCCAAAGTCGGGAAAATCGGGACCTGTTAGAAAGTCGTAAAGTGTGGCTGCTAAGGGGTTTTTCGGGGTGCTGATCACGAATATCGTGTTAGTTTTGATCACAGATGATGTCTTGAAGCATTTAGACCAGGTCGGGTCAGGTCAGGTCAGGTCAACCAGTACCAGTAGGCGTCGTGACGGGTATTCGTAGTACGTGTCAACCGCCTCTGACAGCTTCGTAACATGTTACGAAGTCACCAAAACTACTTCGTAAATGTTCAAATGGTTGCTAAATTCGAATTCAGCTAAAAAAACTAGCCTAGAAACATGTAAAACTCGAAAAAGTGACCCGAAGTCACCCGAGGTCACCAAAGGTCAATGACCTGACCTGACCCTCAGGTGACCTTGACACACACGGGAGTAACATCAAATCACATGTTTGAACGTTTGAAACCACGAAAAGCTTGCAAACACGCGGCTAGTGCGAGCCGACATACGCGAAACCGCGATTCCGGCCAAACATGGTCTCGGAAAAGAGGTCACAGGTCAAAGGTCATTAGGGTCAGGGTCATGAAATTTTCAGGGTAGGTGTAAAATCGATCAATGCGAGGGTACTGAAAGTTTCGTCGCGATCGGCCGCTTTTTACGCGAGTTATTCGCGAAAAAACTTGGGGGGTCCATCCGACCCCCCCCTACACATGCGAGGGTTAAAAGGCACCGATGTCAAATGTGACATTTTAACTACACCACGCTTACGCATAGCTACTGTGACGTCACCGTGGCGGTCAAATTTTCCTACTGAACTATCCTGTTGGTAAAGGAATCTCGAGTTCAATCACACATAACATTAGACAAGACTTTTAAATACCGAATAAAGCAACACTTACGGCAGCTTCGCTGTACATATCCGGGAATATCTCCTTCATCTCCTCGCCAGTCTTCCGGTTTCGGTTGCTCGTGAGGCATATCCGCCGAACCTCGAAGGAATCTTTGAGAACAGATGTCTTGTGAGTGACATCGGCGTGCTTTAGCTTGGCACTGAACTTGGCGGTTTCGGTGCAGATGTCTAGCTGCGACTTCTTCGTTTTGGGAAACATCCCCGACCCCGGCATCCCCTCTTCAGCTGCCGCACGCTTTTTCACAACGATGCCCCTGGCTCGTCTTTCCGTGTCGATGACGGCGTTGCTCAATGCTCAATGGCTTTCGACAGTTCTTGAATCTGTTCCGAAGTTTCTGTCGGAAGCTGTTCTTCCGCAGAGTCACCTTTGAGAAAGAAAAGAACCGTTTTTTTAAGTTCATGGACAGCTTTATCAGGCAGTGAACACTGAACAAGATATAAATACGTTCATTAAACGTGTTTTCTTCTATCGTGATATTATTGGGAGGATAGAAACAACAAAAAGTAGATGTCCGGATATGACCGTTTTAACAATTTGTTTTGTTTGTTTGTAACAACAATTTGTCAATTTGTTTTGACAATTTGTCTTCCAGAATTTCATCATAGCGGAAATCTTCATCCGCAAATCTACGTCAACGCATTTCTTGGATTGTATGGTCATACTACGGATTACTGTTAAGTCATACTAACAAAACACAAAGTATACAGTAATTTCAGCTTACCTTCGAGGACTGGGACGCTTGCTCGGTTCTCTGACAGAAGGCCTTGGTTCTAACGACTTGAGCACAATGGCGGTCGCGAATGGTCGCGAACTGAAGAGACGTTCCGAAAATATTATTCTTGGAATAATACTGCGCTGGACGAATAGATTAATCACTTTTAGATTAGTTATGTCACAACGGAATAGGATTATCAAGAAAGTGATACAGTATTGCTTGAAATACGCTCCCGAATACTCCCGAAGAATAATGTTAGTAATGCTACCACATAATATTACTCCATGGTTATAAAATTATTGTCCGGACATGATAGTTTTATCACGAAGGAAGTAATTTTTACACCTACATGAGAATAGTTTTATTCTGTCGCGTCAATTTATCAGCCGTAATGGAGTATAAAAATTACCCTAATTACTCCACAGCGGTTTATTTTTATGCAGTTTTGATAAAAGTACTCTAGCTGTCAATTTTATTACCATCTAATGGGAGTTCAGCACAAATATATTCCAATGACCTTGTTTATCACTGTGAAATAAGCTAAAATTACCCCATGCCTCTTTGAGACTGATATAAATTTATAACCCGAAATAATAAAAAGGACACGTGATAAAATTAGAAGATAAAATTACCACTTGCTAAAACACAAAAGAGATGATTATAGTACCAGGTTTAAGAATAACTTTCAAAAACGCCCTTAATGCAATGCAGAGAGTAAGAATACGCTACAAAACATAATCATTATATGCCATTGGTGCGTGATTATTCGCCAAACTGGAGTGGAAAAACTCCAAAAATAACTCTCTAGGTGTAAGTTTTTTTCAGTGTAGTGCGGCCTATAGGCCGACCGCTGGCACTCAGATCCCACAGCACCTCTAGTGCCCGGCTCGGCAGGACCCCTAGGTACTGGTTGACCTGACTTGACCTGACCCGACCTGGTCTAAATGCATAGACATCATCTGTGATAAAAACTAACGTGATATTCGTGATCAGCGCCCCGAAAAACCCCATAGCAGCCACCCTGTACGACGTTCTAACAGGTCCCGATTTTCCCGACTTTTGAGTCATTGACCTGACCTGGAAGGTCATCCGATGACCTAGCACCTTAAACTTGGGCATCATCGGCTTGCTCTCTTTACGGGCAACACGCTCGTTTTTTTTCCGCGAAGCTCTAGCTCAATCAGGGGCCAAACGCGAGGGGGGGGGGGGGGTCGTAACACGCCAGGGCTGAAGGAATGGCGTTTGGGGAGGAGCAGGCTACCGGTCCGAGGCCGCGAGCTACATTACAGTTAGGGCTGGCAGAGGGGTAGCCGTTCCTGTAAATCCATTAAACACAATGAATGTGTAATAGGTACTCGAAACTCCTTCATTTACGACGCCTCGCCGGGATGCCTAACCCTCATACATAACTATGCAGCGCCGCCGACCGTCGGAGCGCCGAAGTCTCCAGTGACGTCACGTAATGCTAAAGTTTTCGGGCGGCAAAAACCCCGGGACGGTTTTACCTTCTCTATACGGCCTTGGTTGGGTTGTAGGTTGTAGTTGGGTTGTAGGATGCTGGTTGAGGTTGGTAGGTCTGTTGTTATGCTCCAGCTGTGGGTTGGTAGGTTGTGGGTCATTAGGTAAGTGTTAGGTCAGGTTAGATCAATTTTACTTAGGTACCTAGAAGTTGTTACCCAGAAGTTCTTACCTAGAGGTTAGAAGGAGAGGATAAGGGAACAGGAAAGCTTGTGATGCTGCCTCTCATCGGTAGTCGTAAAGCAGGCGCCACACTTGTTTTTTTTTTTTTGCAATCAAGGAGAGGCGCGCCCATACCCAGGGATGTAGAATGACAATAATGACTCAAGTTTATTTTTAAAGACAAAGCTTTTTTGATAATACATCATACAGTATCTTGATCACTGTCAATGAGATGAAGAATGTTTGTCTATGAATATTTTTTGTCTATATATGAAGAATATCTGTCAAATATTCTTCAGCCCATTGCAATTGACAGTGATCAAGATACTGTATGTATCAAAAGCTTTGTCTTTTTACAATAAACTTGAGTTATTATGTCATTCTACATCTGTCATGGATCCGTTACAACACCCAGGGATGTTTTCTAATCAAACCAAACCTAACCAAGCCTGAACTAACCTTACCTATAAGTTACAACCTACAATCTACCACTTGAAGTATGATGCTTTACTACTACCATTTTTATCAAAAATTTACTTTAATTTTTATTTGAATACTGTTTTTATGATTTTTTACTTTTACTGGTTCAGATAATTTGATGAAGAAGCTGGGGAATCTACAAGGCAGAATTCCATTTTTTTAAAATAAATAAATGGATTTTTATGATCAAATATGGGGATACATGCTGCCCTTGCTTTGCTTTATCAAGTAATTAACAGAGTAACAAACCAATACTTGTGGCATCCGGTCCACCCTTTTGAGAGAAAAGCTTCCATTTCCCATTTCAACTTAGAATGAATGCTTTTTGTGAATACTTGAGGAAATTCTGTGAAATCACTCAGAAATGACTAAAAATGTTTTTTTTTTGTAGGTTCTGAGCACTACAATCAGCTGCCTATTATATGTCCCACGCACAAGGGGGAAAAGCTCAAATTATTGAGCGCTCAAAAAATTGAGCGGGCCCCATTATGAAGGAATAGGCGAAACGATGATATTTTACAATGCCTCTAGCGTCACACTACGGCAAATATCGTATCCAAATAAGGTATCGATGGCAAGAGAGAGCAACAAGGTTTCTTCTCGAACACTCGCCGTGATAATTTATATCGGTGTTTTTGGAAAGAAAATGCCCTAAAGACGCTCAACTTTTTGAGCGCCACTTGTCGTTCGGGACCGCGATACTCAATAAATTGAGCGCCACGACAGACGACAGTCAGCTGGCGCTCAAAAAATTGAGTGCCGGCCAGCATCTACACTCAATTTATTGAGCCTTCTCCGTGACAGGTGAAGCCGGTACTGGCTGCCATTTTTGATGTTATGTTCGTTGAAATACGTTAAACTGAGTTGAAACAGAAATGCAGGAAGTTGAATGCTACGTGGTACCTAAACTTTTCACAAACCCATGGCATCATGTCACATTTTCCGCTAGTAGTTTTATCGGTCGCCTTTCGGATTCGGCACACCTCAAATAATTATACAGGGCTTGAATAATCCGTATGAATACTGTATTGATATTTTCTGACTGTACTGGGAGAAGGGAATGCGTGATTACAGAAAGATATCCACCCACGCTTGAATATTGGAGAATTATACAGGAAAAACTGTATTGCCACGGTTACAACTTACAAGGCCATCGGCCGCAAACAAACAAAAATACTATACAATGTGGGTTAGATTCACAAACATCATCAAGTGTGGAACACAGAGACGAGCAAAACAACACATTATCGCATGCCAGCCCGACCACATTGGAACCGGGTGACCTGCGACCGGAACCTGCGTCTTGCCAGCATACATCACAAAAGCAGGAGGCAGTGTCGTACTGCTTTGATCCAAAATATGCCATATAACAAATGATATAAACGACCTAAGCTCGGACTAAGCTTATCATTATCAAATCCTTAACATGTAAAAGACGAATGGAAACATCGAGTCTCAGACCAGCAGTAGCAACCATCACAGTAGCAACATCACAAAGAACACGCGGCATTATCAGACAGCCGTTTTGTTATCGGGCTACAGGCGGCGACGGCGTGGTTGCAGACCAGCTGCGAGGTAGCGGCGTGCGGGCAAAAGGCGCGGGCACACCTCCATGTGGCCGTGCGGACAGTGCGCGGTCGGCGTCGCATAGTGGGCGGCATCGGGCTGTCCCGGGGCCGTCGAAGCCGCACAGGTTGTCGGCGCATGTGGGCGCGCGCGGTCACCACGGCCAGCTGCTCACCGCCAGCGCACAGACCGCGCAGCGTCGCCGCTCCGCCGGCCAGAACACGCAGACAACCCTTCTTGCAGTCGCACAACACGTCGCCAAACTCATTCACCTGCTCCACCGTGTTGTTGATGTCACCGAGTCGTTCAAGTTGTGGCTCGTGCCGTCGAGCATGACCTGCCCGATCGGACACGGGTCAGCGGCTTCTGCTCCAGCGAAGTCTTCATCTTGGTGACGTCTTGCTGATCTCCACAAAGGCTGAGCAGATGACCTTACCCACAGGGACGGCCGACGTCCTCGCCAGCGACCGCTTGGTTGTGCAGACCTGCCAGAAAAAGAAAAGTTGTTTGGTGATCTCAAACGATTTTTTTTTCTTTACGCAGTGGAACAAAATGGAAAATATGTCATACAACAGGAACTAAAAAAAGATGCAGCCTAGGTCGTCTAAGAAATGGGTGCAACATTGATAAAATTCTTCCTTGAATGAATTCTACAAATGCTTTTGATAAAATGTGTGGTGATTATAAGGAGACCACTTTACTATAAAATTGCTCAGGATTCCCTATCTGGACCTGTCAAAAAATCCTGACTGCACACCAACAATGAGCATTAAATCCGAAACCTCTACCAGGTACCTAGGGATAATTAAATTCTGATTCAGGAAAATATTTCACATCATACAAATAAAAACCTTTACTATATTGAAACTGAAAATGTGATGCCGATCCAGTGACCTAAGGGTCTCAAAGTATAATAATGAATTAATCTATTATAAATTTGGTGGTGACTGCCAACTGGCGTCTGGCAGCCTAGACCTTGAGGCTTGAAAGTGGCCTTCCTTTTCCGTTGACTCCGATCCTCCAGATGGAAATGATATAAAGGATCATTTTTATCTTATTTCAAATGAGCTAGTCAGCAAAGTGGCTATCCTGTTTCAGCATTCACACACACAATAGTTGACTGTCAGTCTGTCATGCTGTCAGTGTTGTGAAGTAACGAAGGAGTTGAGTTTTGTTGATTATAAATTGTTATGTTATGTAAAGGACTGGAAAATGAATGTGAAAACTATGGAAACATATTGGCAGAGTATTGTCACTTACTATCAGGACATATGGATAGAGAATACATTCAAATTAATAAGAAATGCCAAATATCAAGGTACTCAATCACTGATAGCAGTGGACTATCATATGTTTTAATGTCAATTATATGAAAGTTAAGACTGAAACTACCTTTTACTTCATCATACCTAATGAAAAATTGTGTGAAGAAAACATTCACAGCCTCTTTGAAGCACTTAGACCACTAAAAAACAAAAATTTTCACGTAAATATGTTGTGTCTCTTTCCCTCAAAACATCATATCGGATGGCGCCACTTTCGTCGACAGTTACTTATCTGCACGCAAATCGAGGAAAACGTGAATTGATTGACGTTTACGTGTTTCCAAATTTAAAATCACAGCATATTCAAACTTTTCAGTGTACCTTTTAACATCTAAATATAACTAAAACGATAAAAACTTACCTTCAACACAAGGACGACGGCAACCACGCGACCGGAGACGTCGCGACGAAATAAACAAACGGCGCCGCCAAATGAAAAATATTCTCCGATATGGGTGATGTGAAATTGAGTCGCAATCATTTTGGGTAGTATGAAAAATGCTCTTTCCAACAGAACCCTAGTAAAAAACGTGAATGGACAAAAAATAACTTTTATTTCGACATAAATATTGGCCTGTTTTTAAGGCATCCTGGTATGCCGTAAGATTTCGACCTAGAAATTGGTGTTCCCCCAATCATTGAAGCTTGAGCAGTGAAAAATATGAAAGCCTAATCTGTTTTGCATCATTAGTGATTCTCCTAGGGTGTTGCCATTTCTCCCTAGGTGTTGCGAGTTGCTTTTACAAAACGTGTTCCTGAAACGGCTCAATTTTTTGAGCCCTCAGCATTACGCCTATGGGAGCCTCTGACGTCACACGCTCAATATTTTGAGCGCTCAATAATTTGAGCTTTTCCCCCTTGTGCGTGGGACTGAACTTGATCAGTGCTATGAAAGAACATTGTTTTAACCCGCGCGGGGCTGGGGGGGGGTAAATTTTACCCACCCTCGCGAATTTTTGCAATAACTCAAAAACGGCGGGGCGCAGCGCCGCCAAACTTTCAGTATCCTTTCTTACATCAATATTCAATTTGACACGTTCCCTGAAAATTTGAGCGAAATCCGTCCGGAATTTTTTGAGAAATTGACGTTTTAGTGACGTCATGTTCGCCATTTTCACCTTAAAAACGGCAAAATTTCAAACGTCGCTAACATCTTCATTTTTAAAGGAATCAAGACGTAACAAAAAAGGTTTTACGTAGCTCTACTTTGTACATCAAATGGCTATCTCTTTTTTTTGGAAATTTTGGATTTTGGCCAAAAGTTTTTAAAAAAACTGACTTTTTCGGGAAAATAATTATAAATCCAAAATTTTGAGTGTATCGAAAAAACCGGAATATATGTCATAGATGTCGTCTATGTGCACCTACATACCAATTTTTAGAAGAATCGGTTAAAAAATGTGGGAGTTATTAAAAATTTCATGACGTCACGACACACAAAATTTTTGAAAAATGAATTTTTTAAGTTCTAGATCTCGTACGGAAACAAAAATAGCACCATTCGATTCGCCGTGAAAAACTGCATCAGATAGACACCTTTTTAGGCCTTAAGAACCAACTTCAAAATTTGACCTCACTTCACCTGACCTTGACCTGACCTCGACCTGAAATTCATCCAGATGTGGTCCATATCACCTATTGAGTGTGCCTATTGAATTCTATGAATAAAATGACCCATAAAACATGTGTCGCACATGCCCTTTTCTATATTTTGTTTTTGGTGACCTGACCTGACGTGACCTTGACCTTGACCTCTGAATGATATTGTATGCAGCGAATATTGTCTTGGTAGCCTAAGAACACGTTTTGGGCAATCAGTCTCAGTCCATTCTTCGGCAACTACGGTGCAAGGCAGATCAGTGTTCCATTTTTTTCAGACTTGGCAAATCACACCTAATGGGGAAAATATTTTCATCCCTAAAATATGAATGACCAACTTTACTTCATCTCTGAAAAAGTTTCATGTATTCCCAACAGCCAGTTAACATGTCACTTGACAGTTGATGCACCCACATCCTTTTGTTTCACACCTTGTCAAGATCCTGACATGAAATCCTGGTTTATCAGTTGGCATAAAAATTGGCATTTACACCATTTTGCAAAAATACTTCAGTTATTTACTTCCTTTTTTCTCATCCTAGGATTTCTTTTTCTTCATCGGCACACCCAACCAATATCCAATTTTAGAACACTGAGGCAGATACTGTAGAAACTTGCCTTGACCTGACCTTGACCTTGACCTCAAGGCTCAAACTTTAAATTAAGTACATGTTTTTAGTTGTTCGTGATGAGATCTTTCGATTGGCGTTTGAATTTTCCAAATCGGACCATTAGTTCGGGAGATAACAGGGGGGGGGGTAAAATTTACCCACCCCCAGTCCTGCGCGTTCGGCTGGAGACCCCAGCCCCGCGCAGGTTAAACCAGGGCTGCGGAGTCGATGGATTTTCGGCGACTCCGACTCCGACTCCGCCTTTCAAAAACCAGCTCCGACTCCGACCCCGGGCAGAATTGTCGACTCCGACCGACTCCAACTCCCGACACTGACTCCGCAGACCTAGCAGGGCTGCGGAGTCGACAGACTTTCGGTGACTCCGACTCCGACTCCGGCTCGGGTTTCTAAAATCGACTCCGACTCCGACTCCGACTCCGGTCACAACTGTCGACTCCGACCGACTCCGACTCCGACTCCGACTCCGCAGCCCTGTTTTAAACATCAAAGGTCATTGCAATCAAAACAAAAGAGTGAATTTTGAATGATAATTTTGTCTTAGATGGCAACATCATTAAGAAAAAAGTAAAAATAGTGTCATTTTAAAATCAATGTTACTCACTTTTTCTGGCACATCTGTTTCAATCAGCAATTGCTGCCAAAGTAAGATTGACCTTGAATTGTAACATAGTGATTTAGAAGTGCCAGTTAATCGTGCACTGAGTGGCTATGGCAGGCATTGCAACTTTTTAGGCCACTTGATGTGACCTTCTGACCTGACCTTGAAGACCTTGGTCTGAAAGTGCTGCTGTCTGAGATATTCCTGTACAATAACATCCTCTTTTCCAGAGCATGGCTAAGGTGGTGGTCACTGGAGCATCAGGCCTCCTTGGAAGAGCTCTGTATCAGACATTCAAAGAAGAAGGATTTACTGTCATCGGCTTCGCAAAATCAAGGTGAGATTCACATGTCCCACTACTTGAAGTCACAGATTGTCCCAAACTTTCTATTGGACTCGTCTGAAGCCCATGCCAGTGTGAGATCAGACCCTTGCCCTTCTTGTGAGTTCTCTCTGGAGTTTCTCTGTCGCGCAGGGTGTCTGCTGGCCTGCCCCTGAGTCCCCTAGTTTGACTCGTCGCTGTGGCGCAGGGTGTCTGTCGGCCTGCCCCTGAGTTGACTGGTCGCTGTTTGACTCCCCTAGTTTGACTCGTGGCTGTGGCGCAGGGTGTCTGCCGGCCTGCTCCTGACTCCCCTAGTTTGACTCGTGGCTGTGGCGCAGGGTGTCTGCCGGCCTGTCCCTGAGTTGACTGGTCGCTGTTTGACTCCCCTAGTTTGACTCGTGGCTGTGGCGCAGGGTGTCTGCCGGCCTGTCCCTGAGTTGACTGGTCGCTGTTTGACTCCCCTAGTTTGACTCGTGGCTGTGGCGCAGGGTGTCTGCCGGCCTGCCCCTGAGTCCCCTAGTTTGACTCGTGGCTGTGGCGCAGGGTGTCTGCCGGCCTGCCCCTGAGTTGACTCGTCGCTGTTTGACTCCCCTAGTTTGACTCGTGGCTGTGGCGCAGGGTGTCTGCCGGCCTGCCCCTGAGTCCCCTAGTTTGACTCGTGGCTGTGGCGCAGGGTGTCTGCCGGCCTGCTCTCGGTGGACCTGCTGGACAGTGATGAGCTGCGCGCGCGGCTGCGGCAGCTGGCGCCGCAGGTGATCGTTCACTCGGCCGCCTACCGCTCGCCGGACCAGGTGGAGGCGGACGCGGCGGCCGCGCGCCGGATGAACGTGCACGCCTCGCAGGTGATCGCCGAGGTGGCCGGTGAGTGCCCGCGAGACGAAGCGGTAGGATGAACGGTACCTGCTCTTATGACGTAAAATTGATCTTGCCGACGTAAAATTCATGCTTTGTGATCTTTTCACCTTTCTATTGATATACAGACAAAACAATATTTTATCCGCGTCATTTTTGTTTCGTATAGCGTCCAGGGAAAGGTTTTGTGGATCCTCTCAGGTCGTTAGAACCATTCACTAAACTAAGATTAGTGTTGTTAAGCCTAATTTTAATGTGTCTGTTAGTGATATTATCGTGTGGGAACAAATTTCTTCATTTCGTGGCTCACTTTTGGGTTGAGTCCATACTGGACCCATATTATTCAGCTGCTTTTTTATTCCGTTGCCACGATGCAGCAGCTACTGGTCGCTGGCACCAATCAAAAGTGCATAGGTACCACCACCGCATGCCGCTGCCAGCATCGTATCGCTGCGCCGTTCCGCCGGCCGCGCTCCTCACGCGCCTCCCACGGCCTCCCCCCGCCGACAGCCGAGCTGGGCGCGCAACTGCTTTACATCAGCACCGACTACGTGTTCGACGGCTGCTCGCCGCCCTACAAGGCCGACGACCCTCCCAACCCCGTCAACCTGTACGGCCAGACCAAGCTGGAGGGGGAGCGGGCCACCCTGCACGCCTGTCCCGGTGAGCTGGCGGTAACCCAGCGGGGGATAGTTGGGATAGGACTTTGTCTAGGTGGACTTGGTTTTAGGCGTGTGGTATGATCGTCGACTGTCAGTTATAATTTGCTGTGGGTGTGCGCTCGTAACCTTTTTATTCTCTCTGCCACACTCTGGCCACTACCACCACCCCGCCGCTCCACTGTGTGACGTTGGCCCCACCACCCGGCCGCTGTCTGTATTGTGTGACGCCGGCTCCACCACCCCGCCGCTGTCTGTATTGTGTGACGCCGGCTCCACCACCCCGCCGCTGTCTGTATTGTGTGACGCCGGCGCCACCACCCCGCCGCTCCACTGTGTGACGCCGCCCCCACCACCTCGCCGCTGCACAGTGGCCCTTTTTCAGAATTAGCACGCATTAATTCCCACATAACCTGAAAGTGGTGCAAGACATCACCACGTGATCGAGGACGTATTCCCTGCCAATGCAAAGAGAAGAAAAGAAACGAACTGCCCAAGGAGATTCGGCCCAACAGCGACAGGCCGCTCGGCCCAAGATTTGGCGCACGTTCGCACGGCTCGCCCGCCGGCCCAGGCCGCTCCGAACGCAAGTGTGGCGAGCCCGCCAGCCGACCGCGCTGCACTGACCGCCAGGACGCCCCAGGGCGTCACGTGACCGCATCTACAGCTGTTGCCAGCCACCGTTAGTCGGCCCCGGCCGGGCAGCAACTAAGGTCAGCGCGACGCGAACAATACAAACACATAGGCGCTTTTGACGTTAGATCTTAAGCCGACCACGGGACTTGTGCGGCTTGGACATCAAACGCGACAATAAATCGGACAGTTTTTCTTGAGCACAGCGTTATGCCTACATGACATTTCAATAAGCACATCTTATGGCAAAAGTCAAGCCACATTTAGGCGCACACCAGGTGACACCAGCTTCGAGCCAGGTCAATGAGCTTAGCGTATCGGACAGGGCCACAGCCGCTCGCGGACTGAACTGGCTCACGTTATCCACCGTAGAAGCAAAATGGCGCAAAATGGCGCGATGCCCTTTGGTGGACATGGTCAGAAGAGATCGGCGATTCGAACGATGTATAATACGACATGTTCCAGAGTGTGCTACTTAACATAAAGCTTCATATGTATGCCGCCATCTCCAGTTAATAATTGTCCTGTTATTGTGTCCACAATATTCGGCAAAAGTGGTCTATTTAAGTTTATACAATGAAAATTGTGGTTACGGAGCGAGCGAAGCGAGCGGAGTCTTACGTAGAATAACGGAAATTTCTGAGTATGAGCGGCCGGCCGGCCGGCCGGCCGTGCGGACGCTTTTGCGAGGCTTATATCTCAGCAACCACTTGACCGATTTACATGCGGTAATTTTTGTAGGGTAGCTTCATTCCTTCTACCAAGTATTGGACTATTCCCGATGCATGTGGGTGACCCCTTATGCACGTGCCACGTGCAAAACGAAGAGGTGTCAGTTTTGTAATTGTTGCAATATCTCGGTAACTACTTGGCCGATTGCGCTGAAAGTTGGCATGTAGGTAGGCACCCACTAGGCACTGCATATACATGTGCCAGAGTTGGGGTGCCGCTGCACGTGCGCACGTGCAGGGGTCGTTTCCAGATCTCGAGAACGGCTCGACCGATTGCGCTCAAATTTGGTACACAGTTAGGGACCCAGTGTGGCCAAATTGGTGATGTTGCGGGGAAAGTCACCCCCAATGAAAAGTATAATGACATCCTCAGAAATTTTAAAATTACATCATCACGACGTTTTTGTCATGAAAGCATACCTACCTAGGGTAGGAATAAAGACTGAAAATGTTCCAATGTACGATTCGCACCGTCATACTCGTACTATCGCGCTTGCAATGTCGTTTTTTTACATATTTAATGACAATTTTTTTTTTTACTTTCAGTCAGAACTTGACGTCAGGTATAGTTTTTTCCCCACATTGTCTGTAAAAACTGCACCTAAAATGAGGCTGAAGACGAGTTTTTTTTTTTAAATAGTGACATCCTCGTACGACTTTTTTATACATCCTCCCCCTAACGCTAAACCAATTTGGTCACACTGTAGGGACCGGTTAGTAGGGTGCCGTGCACAAGTCAGTTGGGACCCATTTTGCACGTGCGCACGTGCAGGGTGCCGCTTCCAGATCTCGAGAACGGCTGGGCCGATTGTGCCCAAATTTGGCACATCGCTAGAGACCGGTTAGTAGGGTGCCGTGCACAAGTCAGTTGGAAGTACCCCCTCGCAATTTCGCACGTGCAAGGCCCACCATCTCGCTCGCTCCGTTAGTCGCCCCAAAAGGCGTTATACTGGTTTCTAGGGTTTCTACGTAAACTAAGCTTCACAGCCATGCCACTAATTTTTGATATTTTCTCACCGAAAGCCTTACAAATTGATGTTCATCTCACCCTACTTTTTAGGGTCCGCCAGTGGTGTCCGCGCGCCTCTAGACAAACTTCGATTTTGCGGTCAGTTTTACCAAAGATAATTATTTTCTAGGAGGTAAAAATGGCACCATCGGATAGTTTGGAATGTTTTGCACACGATTAGACTGCTTTTTACTCAAAAGAAGAGAAAAAAATATTTTGAATTTATGCGTGCTAATTCTGAAAAAGGGCCACTGTGCGCTGTCTGTATTGTGTGACGCCGGCCCCACCACCCCGCCGCTGTCTATATTGTGTGACGCTGGCTCCACCACCCCGCCGCTGTCTGTATTGTGTGACGCCGGCCCCACCACCCCGCCGCTGTCTATATTGTGTGACGCCGGCTCCATCACCCCGCCGCTGTCTGTATTGTGTGACGCCGGCTGTACCAGTGTACCACCCCGCCGCTGTCTGTATTGTGTGACGCCGGCCCCACCACCCCGCCGCTGTCTGTATTGTGTGACGCCGGCCCCACCACCCCGCCGCTGTCTGTATTGTGTGACGCCGGCCCCTCCCCCCGCCGCTGTCTGTATTGTGTGACGCCGGCCCCACCACCCCGCCGCTGTCTGTATTGTGTGACGCCGGCCCCACCACCCCGCCGCTGTCTGTATTGTGTGACGCCGGCCCCACCACCCGGCCGCTCCGCTGTCATGTGACGCCGGCTCCGTATCGGCAGGGGCTCTGGTGCTGCGCGTGCCGGTTCTGTACGGACCCGTCGAGCGGCTGGACGAGTCGGCTGTGACCGTGCTGCTACGCTGTCTGCTGGAGCCGCCGGCGGCCGGCTGCGCCGTCTCCGACCTCGAGAAGCGCTACCCGGCGCACGTGCGCGACGTGGCCGACATCTGCCACCGGCTGCTGGAGAAGCAGCGTGAGGTGAGCGCCCGTGGTCCCAGCCAGTGCCATGTACAGTCTGGGGGCTGGGCGGCTGGTTTTGCGGCTGATACTGTTGTCGTCTTACAAGGGCTGTAAGGTGGCGTATCGTACTAGTGGCCGCGTTGACTCCACACTGCAGTTGCTTTTATTAATTTACCTCATGAGTCTTATTGTACGGTGATGAAGGGTGATGCTGGGATGACGCTGTTAACCCGCGCCCTGGTGGGGAGGAGGAGGGGCTGTTTTTGCCCCCTCCAGTCTTTTCGTATTATCTCTAAAACTACGGCGCCGATCGCCGATCGTCTCGGAACTTTCAGTACTTTTTATATCTTTAATCATCAAGAGATTAAACTGGAACAGTATGGTGATGACAGCACATTCATACTTGATGGGAGCCAGAGTAGTTTCAGGGCTTGCTTCATTGAAGGGCTTCAGATGCGGCTTGCAGGGCTTCAGGGCGGCTTGCATTGCTGAATTTGGAGCGGTTTCAGGGCTGTCCCTAAATCCACAGAAGTCGGAGCTTTTATATTCAGGTCCAGGTGAGCCGCCATCCTTTATCACACAGTCAGAGTTCTCATGTGTGCAGGACAGTTTTCGTTACTTGGGAATCATTTTCACCAAGGACATGCATGAAATGGTAGCAGTCAACTTTAAAAGAAAAGTCGAGTCAATAACAAATATGCTCAAGGGCTGGCTGCGACGGCGATTAACTTAATACGGGAAGCGGACGGTTTTAAAGTCACTTGCTTTGTCCAAGCTGACGTACGTCTTGACGGTACTGCCTAATCCTCCAACTGCGATGACTGATGCACTGCAGAAGCAGTTTTTCCGATTTTTGTGGGACAACAAGCCAGACAAAATACGTCGGTCCCATTTGATAACGCATTATGGCATACCCTGCGTGGGAACGTATGGTAAAGCTATGAAACTTGCTTGGGTGCGACGCGTTTTGACCGTAAAAAATATTGTGGGACCGCAAGTGGAATTGGATAGGCTACTAAGTAGCGGTGACCGTTATATGAACAAGTTTGGCTCGAATATGAATCCTTTTTGGAGTGATGTATTTTCTGCATATGATGAATTCAAGCACGAGCTCGTACAGGGTGTCTCAAAAGTTCGCTTACAGGTACCAGCCATGCTTTTTTTGTCAATAATTCTGAATCAACATGAAATTAACAGTCGAAATTTTGCATGGGCATTGGTAACAACCTTCCTCAAGCAGCTTCATTGTTTTCAAGCGCATTCGACCCTTCATGAGCTCACAAAAAGGGTTCACCTCTGACCATGGATCAGGCATGAAAATGGAGGTCGCATACTCGGGTCGGCTGAGAAACTCCCTGCTTCACGAGTAATGGGAATGGTTAGGTCGGAAATGACACATGGCAAAGTGTCGGCGAGGATGAGTACAACATGATGGTCATCTAATAAAAACGGTGGCTAAAATTTTTGAAGGACAAAACCATGCGAGACTAACAGCGCTTTGAACGACCCTTGTACCGCAGCAGACTCGTGCTCCGGAAAGCAGCTGAAAATGCAGTCCTAACTATTGAAAACTGACTAGAAGCTCACAGACAGAGGTTACCCAGTTTCAAAAACTGCAGGTCATCATAAAATAAAGACAAAATATCATTTAAAATTGTTTATAATATCTATAACGCTAAATTTTGAGGGAAAATAATGCGAAAATCGTCAATGCCGAGGACAAGTGACCCTCCAAAAGTGTCAATTAATGTAAAGTTTTATCTAACGAAGTTTCAAGAGGCAGATCTGGAGCAAATAGCTTTCTTTTACACACAAAATCCGGACAAAACCGCACGATGGACAGGTTTTGGCCGTTTACAAAGCAGAACCTCTCCTGAGGAAAACACTCCGGAACCCAGCGAAGGTCTTGGCATTGGGAATGACGAGCGTTCGGGATTTGCAAATTTTGCAAAATGTGTCTAAGAAACAGATGGCCGACACATTCTGCTACGATATGCTGCGAAAAATTTGCCCCTGGCGCTTCCCATTTGTTCAGGAATGGGGTTGTTTTGAAAAGGAAAATGGTGCTTGGGAGGTCGGCGCCAGTCATTCATGAAGGAGCTAGCGCCAGAGAAGACCTACAAAATACTCACGGATGGTGTCGATGCAAGCTATCGGCTTTCAGGGAGAAGCGGATGTTGCCGGGGAGCTCGTCAAACCTAAATCCGACGCAGAAACTGCGGGGGATTCCCCTACAAGAGCTTGAAAGCTGGTAACCTTTTATCAGCCTCCGGCAGCTGACGGAGTGACGAAAATTGGTATGGGCAAATATTTTTGGAGATACAGCAAAGGGTTTGGTTTCCAGCCTTCCGAATCAGTTGTCAAAGCATGCATATTTGTCTAGTGTACACACGGACACCAAAACCTTAGATTTATGGCCGGTTCTTATATGCTTTATTGACATGGGAAATGTGTAAACGAACTTTTGAGACACCCTGTAGTTGAAGCAAGCGATGTTTGGCAGATTCCCATCTTTTTATCTTCCAAAATAGTGATAGGGCGGAAGCCCTTTGGGAAACGTAAACTTTTCGACGCTGGATGTAGGTCAATAAATGATATTTACAATTCTCAAGGAGAACTTATGTCCTTTGAAGAATTTAGGAGAACTTATCCTGGGTGTTTGAACGCTTTGACTTTTGAGACATTGCGATGCTTGGTACAGAGAATTTCCATACCAAGTGAATTCGGAGGCAAAAAGCCAATAGGACCGTTCATCCACCCGGCTCTACTGCAAATATTGAACGCCGATTGCAGACAATATTATGATGCCTTACTGAATGTGAGATATAAGAAAACAGATTCACCATTACCTAGTCAAATTAAATGGAACTCTATTTTCAGTTCTAACATATTTTGGGGGCATATATATTATCGATACAAAGGGTGTTCAAAGAATACAACTTTGATATGGTTCCAGGACAGAATTGTTCACCGAATTTTGACAACAAATACCTTTGCATCGAAATTCATGGACGTCAGCGACTTATGCACCTTTTGTGGTAGGGAAAGAGAGACGATACAACACCTAATGGTAGCTTGCGAAGAGGTGGGTGCGATGTGGCAATCGGTGAAAGATATGATACGTGACCGATTGAAGATTACGCTGGAATTGAATCCTCAGGAAATCATATTGGGATTTGATCCAGCTTTGTACGAATGCCCTAGGGAAACCGCAACAGCGATCCAGCGACTCATTTTGATAGGAAAATGGTACATATATATGTAGTTGTAAGGTTAGAAAAGAAAAGCCAAGGTTTGTGAACTTGTTACAAAAAATGAAAATTCTGACACAAGCTGAATTTATGTACGCCCATGACAAGAATGAAAGGGAAATTAGAGTACGAGATATTAATATGGTACTGTGCTGTAACCAAACATGCTAATGTAGTGAGCATCATGTATGTGCGTTGGAAAATGTGGTAGTTCTGTTACCACACAACTACCACATTGTGGTAGTTTTGTTCCAGAGCCTTTGACAGGTTGTCCATAAATGACGTCAGGGACGTCATATTTAGCCATTTTCGGGCTAAAAAAGGTTTTGTGGGAAGAGTTATCATGCCTACAGTCTTGCAGATAGAACAAAATTTTCAAAATCAAAAAGATGTAAAATGAACAGGGCTACACAACTGCTATCTCGGATTTTTTTAGCTTGACTTTTTCAAAAAAGTTCAAAAAAGTTTTTTTTCTTTTTAAATAATACCCTGAGTATACCAAACATATTCAAAATTTCGAAAAGAGCCGGAATATTTGCTATAGACCTATTAGTCAGCTATCAACATGCCGAATTTGAGCTGCGTAACTCTATTTTGGGCGAAGTTTTGGCGAAAAAAACTGCTAAAAATGATGACGTCAAATATTTAAACTCAATTTTTAGCTCTTATAGGCCACGTAGAAGTAAAGTAAGGCCACCATTTGACTCACCCTGATGAACTGCATTGAATAGATATCCTTTTTATGCAAAATATTAACTTTGAAATTTGACCTTTTTTTAACTAACCTCAACCTGACCTCCACCAGAACGTAACCCTCACCGTCTCTGATGGTCGTCTAACCGACATCGTTAAGCTGGAAATGAAAAAATGGCCACAAAACATGCATCACACGGTCCTAATAAAGTTTGGTTTATGACATGTGTTGACCCTAGGTGACCTGGCATCAGTGACCTCTTTTGGCAACAAATGTACTAGACAACCGACGCTCTATGGATGATTTTCGATAAAATTTGTTTTACTCGATGCTATAACGTATTTTCTAGAAGGCCCGTGAACGGTGAAACGTTTTAGATTTGACGTGACCTGTGATGTCATCGGTGACCTCGAGGTCAATGAAATTAATTTTCCCGTGACAGTGTTTACAAGGCTATCGAACGCCGCTCGAGTTTTGCGAATCCGTCCAGTAGTTTCGGAGCTGGGGGGCGGGCAAAAAATAGACCCCCACCCCGGCCACCAGGTCACGTCATATTAATCAGACCCCACCAGGGCGCGGGTTAAGAACATGTATAGGCATGGCTCGGATGACGTCTGTGAATTGGAGCGTCTCTCCTCTGATCCCAGAGCCGCTCACAGCGCCTGGGCTGGAGCCGTGTGGTATGTGATGACCGAGCTAACCCCACTCGCCCACCACTAGCCCAAATGACCCCAACTGCCCCTCAGCTGATTGCTTCCGCTTCGTCAGCTGGCACCACCTTTTCACATGGCAACCAAACTCAGCTGACCCCACCGTGTTGTTGTTGCTTTTTTGCGGCCCACCATACCCTCAGCGCTCCCCAGCCATCTCAGCTGACGTTTGCGCTGACTGTGCGGCAGGACCGGGCGGCCGTGCGCGGCGTGTACCAGTGGAGCGGCTCGGAGACGCTCACCAAGTACGGCATGGTGCGCGCCATGGCCGCCGTGTTCGGTCTGTCGGCCGAGCACGTGACGCCGACGCGCGCGCCGCCGCCGGCCGGCACGCGGCGGCCGCTCGACAGCCGGCTGGACACGGGCCGGCTCGCCGAGCTCGGCATCGGCACCCACACGCCGTTTGCGGAGGGCATCGAGCAGTGCCTGAGCGCCTGGCTGGAGAAGAAGGACGCGCCGCAGTAGCCGAACACACCGGTCGGTTGGAGGGCTGGTGGGCCGTAGCTCGCGCGGGAGGGCCGCCCCAGAGGAAGGTGGGAACGACGGGTGCGTCCGTGGCACCGCTGGTAGAACTGTGGTAATCAGCAATATCTTAGAAATTAACTTCTGCTGTGTGATAGTGTAATCGTGAATGAGATTATATGTATGAAGTCTTCCAATATCTTCAACCATGTTGTAACAATCGTATGCTCTATCGTTTCTTCAGACTCGCTTTCACAATCCACGTCATTAATCTAACGGTCGGAAATTTTCTTTATTGTCACTTAGGAGAACACTAAGGTATATTGATAAGCGGGAGCTTCCCCGCGTAGCAATCAACCACTGGTCAGTTTACGATGCAAACTGCACGCCATATTTATCTTTCTTTGCTTATAGCCCAAGCGGGTTCAAATGACGAAATCCGGACTGGCCGGAATCTTGCTCGCCGGCTTCCTTTTTATGTATCACCACCACATCTACCTTTACTGCACTTATAATGCTGATAGCATGAAAAGTTCTGGACCTTGTTACGAGTCCCTAGGCGTTCCATGCTACGATAACCAGGCGATTTCGTGTCTGTCGGTTCATCCTGTAGTGGCGTTTCTCCGCTCGGTTGCTGCGTTTACCCCAGTCCCGCCGTCGCGGAAGTTCGTCTCCCCCTCCCCCGTTTTTTTTTTAGGCGGGGGAGGGAGGGGGTGGTAGGTGGGCTGGCAGTTCGGGCTAACCACCAGGACGACGAGGTGACCCGTCTGCCACTGGGACCTCTTCGAAGGCGTGATGCAGCCTCCCTTTTGATTGCCCCGACACTTGGCGGGGCGGGGACTGGCCCACACCGTTTACATCGTGAAGGCGGAGCCGCCCAGATGGCAGTGTCAGCTAGATGGCCAGTCTGAGGCATCATCAAGGTCGCATAGGCTCTTTTTGAATGCCTGTGGCCTGTAGGAGCCAGGTCGTTTGTTGTGAATCTATGCGGCAGTCCTCTGCCCGCTCCATCTTTGCCACAGTCGACAGTGTTCTCCCGAGTTTCTTTTCCAGTTGCGATCAGTTTCTTCAGCTTATCAGCCACCCGAAGTGGCGGCTTTGGTTTAAACCGGTCGCCGAGGCGGCTAGCCTTCAGTTACTCACAGACAGGCTGGCGTCTGTGCGGTTACAGCGAGTTTGCAAAGCATTGCTTTGGCGTGAGTGTATTGCGTGGTGTTGCAGTTGCAGCGCCTGGCAAAGACGTTTGTACCGGTGTGATTTCGCAGTGTGGTAATGAGTAATGACCTGTCACTGAAACGTCTTATTGTTGGTGGCATGGCACAGCGCGGCGCGTGTGCAGCAGCGACAGTGGTTGCCTTGCTGCACCGCGCCCGAACCGCCTCGGGCAACTCACCGCTCGGCGACACCACATCTATATTGTGTACACGAGCACCTCTCAGACAACACTGACCCGTTGGCCACTCGCTGCCCCGCTCACCTATCCGTGCTTCTATCCTCAGGATACTGAAATCCTTCTCCTCCAAGCCGCAACCCCCTCCGGGCTGGACAGGCAACTTTATCTCATGCGGGCTGCTCCCTTGGAGCGGCACCGCTGCTCCTGAGGGAGCGCACCCCGTAGCCGGGTGCAGTGAGTGCCTTGGGGCTGGGTGGCCTGTCCTCTGGACGGGCTCAGCCCCGGCGACTCACTAGGGTGCCTGCCCAGACCAATGTCTCCCCCTAATTCCTATCATCCTTCCGGCTCTGCAATGGTCTTGTCGACCGAAAGGGCCTAACCCAACAAAACAAACAAACAAACTGCCCCGCTGCCCGACCCTGCCGGCCATGCCAGGGCGCTTGGCCCGTAACACAACATCTTTCCGAAGGCGTTCGCCCGAATGGTATGAGGTGGGCGGATGTCTCCAAACAAGATACCTACCCAAACAAAGAGCAACCGCGGTCCATAAACAGTAAGCATTTGTTCGCCACAATATGCATATCAGGAGAAGCACACCGCCGTACCGTCAGCGCGCACACATACGTACTGAATACCCAGGACTACTCATATTAGCGGGAGCCAAAACACACCAAAATGAGGCTTCACTATGTTGGCAGACTTATTAAGGAAACACGAAAACACAAGAGCGACCCGCTCACTGCGATCGTCTGCCAGTCTATGCAGGCCCATGCATGCAGGCATGCGACACGGTATATACATAGGGCCTTGTGCCGGACTCTGCCGGACCACTGCCCGTCCCGCCAGGGCCAGCCACTGACCCCGCCCCGGGGCAACGCGGCAGGGGCGGCGCCGGGCACGGCTAGTCGGTAGGCGCCACGGGCGGCGCCAGGCGCGCCACGACGGGCGCCGGGCGGTTACAGCCGCCCGTAACAATACGGGTGTGCGTCCCAGCGGACCTGTAGCCGCCGAGGCTCCTGTCGCTGGCGGTTTCTAGGACGCAATTCCTGTCAGCGCCGCGGAGTCCGCTGGGGCGGCTGGCGGACTGCGCGTCGAAGTGGACGGCCGAGCGCCGCCGCCCACCCCAACTGCCGCGGCTCTTGCCCGCCGCGGGGTCCGGAAGGGCAAAGGTGGGTGACGATTCGCGGGCCGGCTCCGAGGAGGGAACGCAAGCGCTGATTGGGCGACCAAGTGTCCGGCAGAGGCGCTGGCGTCGCCACCTGTAGTGATGGTAAAAACTGTAGAGGAAGACTGCTGCATAAAGTGTTGTGAGTCTTCAGCATTGGAAAACTGGATATTCTAGAAGCCTCAGACACTGGACAGCTTCAGGCTGGCGTCAATGACGTCCATGTTTTTAATGTTCAGCTCCAGGGCGCCGCCGCGTCCTGTTCGCACGCAGTGGCCGGGGATATGGTATGTGCTTGATGCTGCTTATTTCAAGGTCAATTGGGCGACTCTCCCACGTGTTGAAAAACGGTAGGGGTAGTGAGTCGTCGCCGCCGAGGTGGACATGGTGTGTTGACAAAATGAACTCTATGTTGTGCGCTTGATCACCCGACATGTCATAATGCATATCAGTCGACGCGGAATAATCAGACATATCCATTGGTAGCGTTTTTAAGGCTGGATCTCGCCTTTTTCTGGCTCTATAGCGCGCGGGACGAACTTTCGCGAAGCTAGCCTTTGGCCAGCGTCCCACATCTGGCGAGTGAGGGCTGGCACAGGTGTGCTCGACAGCGGGAGTCGGCGATGGTACAAATGTCACCTGTGGGCTGTGTGGTCGGTTATGACGCCGTTCGACGTGTTTTTGGTTGATCCGGCCTTGTCGCGCCTTCTCCCGAGAAACTCGAAATGTTCCTTGGGGATCGAGCAGTGGCGGGCGAGCTTGGCGACCTGTCGAAAAAAGTTACGAATGGCACTGCTATTAGGCGTCCACTTCAGCACAGGGAGGCGGATGTAGCGTGCGCTACACAACTCAATGCAGAGTGGCGCTCGTAAAATTCTCGGTTTGAAACTGGAATAGCTTCCTTCATTCTTAAACATATTGAACGATATTTTCGCACAATGTAGGCACACGTTTGGGAATATATTTATCCAAGTTTCAGACCATCCAATAATTTTCAGCTCAGTTGTGTACATCGACGTGATCGTTATCGTTGCCCATTCACTCTCTGCTCAGCTCTGCATCTCGACGTGACCCCCACCGTTTCCCATTCGTTTTTTGCTCAGTTGTTTACCTTTACGTGGCCTCTATCGTTTTGGATCACTTTCTCGAGTTGCTCGCTGTACGCCAGCGCGACTTTCTGGCGTAAATGCGCATCTCGACGGTGATCTTTGTGAAGGCGGCTTTCATCCGACTTTTCAGCTCCGGGATATTCGCCGGCCGCGTCACGTATACCTTCGACTTCACAAACCTCCACATGTGTCACACGGGGTGAGGTCGGGCGAGTGTGGTGGACAGGGCAGATTAGGCGAAGCGAGCCCCATCCATCGCTGCTCGCTCAGTCACTCGCCAACCATAGTGGCGCGCCGTCCTGCATAAGCAGGATCTCGTTGGCCCTCCCCTCCTCCTCCACCACCGGCCAGAGCTCCTGAAGCATCTGCAGGTGGCGCCCCTTGTTCACGGTGCTATCGAAAAAGAAGGGCCCGTATTCTGTGAGGAGGGCTTAGGCCGGTCCTGTGGGCCCTTCGTTACCTGCCCTCCGGATCTCTACTCTACTCTACAGGAATAGTGGTCGGCCGGGACGTCTCCCAGCCTTTTACCCGTCTGCCACCCGGGCCACTGTCCTCTAAACTAAATGTACTAAGCTATGCATCGTGGTTCAGGTGAATAACTCCGCCATTTTGAGGCACACGCGGTTGGTAGCGAACCCTGAGTTTGGAGCTAAGCTCCTGAGCCATAATGACTAACTAGGCACCGACTGAATAAGACTCCGCTCAAACTCCGTTCTCCTTCGACTCATCTCATTACCAAAAGACGTTGTCGATTCATCCCCCCCATTTATTCACATTGATCAAATTGCCGAAATCAGTATAACGGGACTGCCGAATGAAATATTGTAATCGTATTACACACAAAGCATGACTCTACCCTAACACTACCCTGCGCCACGCGAATCAACCTAACCCTCCTCCCGGTTGTTCCTACCTAGCTAGGGGATGTCCGTGAGCCCGCGACAATCCCTGCGTGGTCGGAAACTACCTCGAGCCAGATGCCAGCAGCGTGAAGAGCGGTCGGGTGCTCAGCGTTGCCACCACCTTGGGTAGCAGACACTAAGCCCCCCTTTGCTGTCACGCTGCGCTTACATACCAGCTCAAGGCGGATACGCCCCCGTCAGCCGGTCGAGGCTAGACCAATCGGTTGACGGTGGCGCACGGTTCCGGCCTCGCTGGCCTCCTAAGCGCCACCCTTACCCGCACAAAAACACCGCGCCGAATACACCACACGCCAGCGCCGGGCCGCCGGCCTGCACCGCGCCGTCCGCGCCGACCCGGCATTACCCCTACCAACAATATCCTGACATAATACCCCCTTCTTTGGTACTGGGGAAAAATTCCCTTACTTTGGGGGGATCAGCCACGGCTAGTGGCATCGCCCTGGTCGCAGCAGTGGGCGGCGGCATCTTCCGTCATCGTCTTTGCGGCGACAGCAGCTTCCGTAGCATTTCTCCGCGGCGGCATCTTCACCCCAGCGTCATCGTCTCCGCGGCGACAGCAGCTTCCGCAGCATCTTTCCGCGGCGGCATGTTCTACCGCAGCGTCATCGTCTCCGCGACGACAGCAGCTTCCGCAGCATCTTTCCGCAGTGCATCGAGCCACCTCTCATGTCCTTGCTACCGTGGCG